CACAGTTAATGTACATACTCAAATAGAGAGAAAAAAAAAAAAAAGAAGGAAAAATGAGTTGTTCGAAGTGCACCATAAATGTAGCTTGAAAGTGCATAGACATTACTGCTATATAATACTCATTTTGCCTGAAGCATCGACTTCATAGTTGGCCTCTGCTTTAGTAGGTTGTTCTGAGCTGTGGATTTACATTTCAAGGTAATCAAACCCTAAACGCTTTGTAGTCACCAGTAAACATGAATCTGTAAAGGAGAATTGGGTTTATTACTGTATGAAAAATGACTTCTGAATTTCCTCCAGGTGACTTCCTTTAAGATTATTTTCAAGTGGGAGGACTTTATTGTGCTATTTATTTTTGGGATATTGCAATAAGCAGATNGCACTGTAAAGGAGAATTGGGTTTATTACTGTATGAAAAATGACTTCTGAATTTCCTCCAGGTGACTTCCTTTAAGATTATTTTCAAGTGGGAGGACTTTATTGTGCTATTTATTTTTGGGATATTGCAATAAGCAGATGCGTGTACGCATTATTCAAAATGTATGAATTTTCTTTCCAAATAGATCACCATTGGGGTTGTGGTTATATGATCGATAATCCAAGTTTTATTGTGATGCTTCAATCTCACATTGACTGTTGAAATGGCTGTGAAAATTTGGACCTTCATTACATAGTACGTTTTAAAGTCATGCGACCCTAATTTAAAGCTGACAATATTACACAATGTGCGTTCAAAGTATTATAATTGGTATCAAAACTATTCATCCTCGTGACATGAAGGCCACCCAATGTTGTGCATCCCTCGGTGCACAGGGTCCAANCTTCAATCTCACATTGACTGTTGAAATGGCTGTGAAAATTTGGACCTTCATTACATAGTACGTTTTAAAGTCATACGACCCTAATTTAAAGCTGACAATATTACACAATGTGCGTTCAAAGTATTATAATTGGTATCAAAACTATTAATCCTCGTGACATGAAGGCCACCCAATGTTGTGCATCCCTCGGTGCACAGGGTCCAATGGAGCATTGACTTGGGACAATGTCAGTTAACGTGGTTGAAATGGATAGAGAGTGGTATGTAAGAGTGAGTTTTGGACTTTCATTATTGATGATACTTCAAACAAGTTTTAGCTGTGAGCTCAGGTCAAGAAAGACACAAAGAATTCAGAGAACTAGGGGTGAAGCTCCTCTTGGAGAGATTGTAGCAGAACCGACCAGGAAACAATTGGATGACGGCGAAAATTAGGCCCCATGCATGAAACTCTCAATCAATCAAAATTTGCTCCTAAAATCAAGAAGGATCCTATGAATAATAGGCAAAAATCTCGGCTGAAATTCCATAAAATAGGGGGCAGCCTTATAAATACTATGTAACGTCTCATTGAGGGAGGGTGCAAAAAAAGAACCCTAAATGGATTATGCACTGTCTTGTATTACATTCAAATAATCAATAAAGAAGAAAATGAGCAACAACCTCCATTTGAGAGTGAATTAGCCGAGCTTCAAAACCGGTGAACCACTATATTCCTACTGTGCAAATTCTCCTAATCCTTAAAAAACACTTCATCATTGCCATTACGAAGTTGGCAGCCTAACTTCACTGTTGGCCCCACGCACTCTGTTCACTCACATTTGTCTGCACCATCAGTTTGGCGCCGTCTTTGGGAACGACTGTTCCTATTACAAATAAACTGATCTTTCAATGACTGATAGTGTTAACACGAAACATGAGCAGAAGCCAAACAAACTCATCTCGGATGCAGGACCAACAAGGAGCCACTAATGGCAGACAGCCCGAGAACGTCCCAGAAAATGATCCTCCCATGNTTCAAACAAGTTTTAGCTGTGAGCTCAGGTCAAGAAAGACACAAAGAATTCAGAGAACTAGGGGTGAAGCTCCTCTTGGAGAGATTGTAGCAGAACCGACCAGGAAACAATTGGATGACGGCGAAAATTAGGCCCCATGCATGAAACTCTCAATCAATCAAAATTTGCTCCTAAAATCAAGAAGGATCCTATGAATAATAGGCAAAAATCTCGGCTGAAATTCCATAAAATAGGGGGCAGCCTTATAAATACTATGTAACGTCTCATTGAGGGAGGGTGCAAAAAAAGAACCCTAAATGGATTATGCACTGTCTTGTATTACATTCAAATAATCAATAAAGAAGAAAATGAGCAACAACCTCCATTTGAGAGTGAATTAGCCGAGCTTCAAAACCGGTGAACCACTATATTCCTACTGTGCAAATTCTCCTAATCCTTAAAAAACACTTCATCATTGCCATTACGAAGTTGGCAGCCTAACTTCACTGTTGGCCCCACGCACTCTGTTCACTCACATTTGTCTGCACCATCAGTTTGGCGCCGTCTTTGGGAACGACTGTTCCTATTACAAATAAACTGATCTTTCAATGACTGATAGTGTTAACACGAAACATGAGCAGAAGCCAAACAAACTCATCTCGGATGCAGGACCAACAAGGAGCCACTAATGGCAGACAGCCCGAGAACGTCCCAGAAAATGATCCTCCCATGGGGAATCCCCCCATAAATAACGAGATAGAGGTCCTTCGCCTCGTCAATCAGCACTTGATAAAGCAAAACGAAGAATTCTTGAAGCTCTTACAGCGCCCACAGGAGGCACGTCCAGCCCAAGAAGGTCAGAACAGTCCCTATTACATGGATCAACAACATCTTGATCCACTCAGAGAAGACAATGAAGGAGGAGAGAACAACCAGATCTTGGGGTAGGTTTCCCAACTACCCCCTAGGAACGACCAGAATGAGGAAGTACAAAGTCAAAACCATAAAGGTGAAAAGAATGATGTCTTCCCTTATCAGCAGGAGAGAAGGGAACAATATTGGGNGAAGAAAATGAGCAACAACCTCCATTTGAGAGTGAATTAGCCGAGCTTCAAAACCGGTGAACCACTATATTCCTACTGTGCAAATTCTCCTAATCCTTAAAAAACACTTCATCATTGCCATTACGAAGTTGGCAGCCTAACTTCACTGTTGGCCCCACGCACTCTGTTCACTCACATTTGTCTGCACCATCAGTTTGGCGCCGTCTTTGGGAACGACTGTTCCTATTACAAATAAACTGATCTTTCAATGACTGATAGTGTTAACACGAAACATGAGCAGAAGCCAAACAAACTCATCTCGGATGCAGGACCAACAAGGAGCCACTAATGGCAGACAGCCCGAGAACGTCCCAGAAACTGATCCTCCCATGGGGAATCCCCCCATAAATAACGAGATAGAGGTCCTTCGCCTCGTCAATCAGCACTTGATAAAGCAAAACGAAGAATTCTTGAAGCTCTTACAGCGCCCACAGGAGGCACGTCCAGCCCAAGAAGGTCAGAACAGTCCCTATTACATGGATCAACAACATCTTGATCCACTCAGAGAAGACAATGAAGGAGGAGAGAACAACCAGATCTTGGGGTAGGTTTCCCAACTACCCCCTAGGAACGACCAGAATGAGGAAGTACAAAGTCAAAACCATAAAGGTGAAAAGAATGATGTCTTCCCTTATCAGCAGGAGAGAAGGGAACAATATTGGGAGCAACGCTTCAAGGGTATCCAACAGGAGCTCAGCCATATGAAGGAAGCGATCATAAGTAAAGCTCCAGTTACAATGGACGCCTTGGTGTAGCAGACTGAATCTCCATTCACGCCTGGAGTGTTGCATTTTTCCCTTCCACCAAAGTTCAGGATGCCGCAGATAGAGTCCTTTGATGGAACCAACGACCCCATGGACCATCTCAATACTTATAAGAACCAAATGAAATTGCACGGGTACCAGGACCCCGTACGTTGTCGAGCCTTTGTCATCACTTTGAAGGGTTCAGTCTTGGCGTGGTTTAACAGGCTTCCTCTGACCTCAATCTTTTCCTTAAAAGAGTTTTTCATTTCTTTCATATCTCACTTCATAAGGGCTCGAACCTATAGAAAGCCGAGCTGTCACCTTTTGAATGTGAAACAGGGACCACAAGAAAACCTCAGGTCATATGTCCAAAGATTTAATTTGGAGTCGTTAAAAGTGGATGTCCCGGATGAAAAGTTCGTCATCACTGCCTTCATAGCTGGTCTAGGGGTGTAGTCTAAAGATTTGATGTTCTCCATATCAAAAAATCCCCAAGCAAGCATGGCCGAGGTGCTTGCCANTAGATGAAAAGTTCATCATCACTGCTTTCATAGCTGGTCTAGGGGTGTAGTCTAAAGATTTGATGTTCTCCATATCAAAAAATCCCCAAGCAAGCATGGCCGAGGTGCTTGCCAAAGCGGAGAAATATATAAACAGCGAAGAAGCTCTTTTTTCTAAGGTAAGGAGCTCTTCCGCACATAGAGACAAGGGAAAGGAAAAGAAAAAGAGGAACCGAAATCCTAGGAGAGAGAGGGAAAGAAACAGATCTCCTAGAAGAGACAAAGAGCAATCTCCAAAAAGAAGGGGGAACGTTAGGGACCGCTTAGGCCCCCCGTAGCCTGAACTACAGCCGAGGTATGCACTTCAGCAATATACCCCTCTCACTGTGATAGTGTCCCAGATCCTATACGAGGTACAGAACGAGAAATTCCTAAGGTGGCCTCTACGAATGAAAGTAGATCCGTCTAAAAGAGACCATACAAAATATTGCGAGTATCATAGGGATCATGACTATCATACCGACGATTGCATTTAGTTAAAGAAAGAGATCGAGTTCTTCATCAAGAGGGGACAGTTACGACGATTTGTCGCCCATGACAACTAGAACAGGGCTCCACCACCACCGACACCCCAACAACAAGCCCCTGCGCAACACCAACAACCCTTAGGGGAGATCAGAGTGATATCTAGAGGATTTGTTGGCGGTGGA